TTCCCTGGAATTTCACATAGAGTACCAGAGCATATGCCCTGAAGCCAGAGGGCATACAATGTCTCTCAAAGCAACCAGAAGTAGAAGGAACTTGAGTGTCAGGGGGATATATTATTTAAAAAAATTTTTTTATAGCTTCATTGAGATGTAATTTACATATAACATTGGTACATTTAAGGTATACAATGTGATGACTTAATACATGTATGCATTGCAAAATGATTACCACGTTAGGGTTAATTAACACTTCCATCACCTCATGTACTTGTGTGTGTGTGTGTGTGTGTGTGTGTGTGTGTGTGTGTGAGATAAGAACATTTACAATCTACTCTCTTAGCAACTTTCAAGTATATAATAAAGTCCTGTAAACTATAGTCACCATGCTGTACATTAGATTCCCAGAACTTATTCATCTTACAGCTTGAAGTTTGGACCCTTTGCCCAACATCTCATTTCCTCTACTCCCCAGCCCCAGGCAACTACCATTCTACTCTGTTTCTACAAGTATGGTTGTTTTAGATTCCACATATAAGGGAGATCATACAGTATTTGTCTTTTTCTATCTGGCTTATTCCACTTAGCATATGCACAGATATACAAGTTCAACTCCCTCTTAGGCCATTTGATCTTGGGCCAAATAATTAACTTCTATAACCTCAGTTTCCCTCTGTATAGGATGGAGAAAAAACAGCTCCTTCCTCATGAGTTGTGTGACTCAAACAAGATAATATACATAAGGCCTTTTGCACGGTGCCTGGCACATAGTAAGGGCTTAATAAATATTATTAGCAGTATTAATAGTAGCAGCAGCATTAAGCATCTATCTACTCTGTGCTAGAGACCCGGCTAGGTGATGGAGATACAATTCATTCATTCAATATATATATTGAATGTATCTAAAGGCTTTACTTGTATCCTTATTTTTGATATAGAATAAAACCAACAAAGATCTTTGACCATGTGGTGCTTACATTGCAGTGAAGAGACAGATAACCAAGAGTGAGAAAAGCAGCTACCATCCTAAAGATACAGACTAGCGAACAAGCACAGCACTAGGGGAAGAGTGATGGATGTAACCACATGGGCCATTGAGCAGGGTCACCTAACCTAGCTTTGGGGGGTCAGGGAGGGCTTGCTGGAGGATATGTGGGAGTTGAATCAGATCAGAGAGTCCTGTATCCTCCTGGTAAGTATAATAATGGCCCCCAAAGGTGTCCACATCCTAATCCCTGAAACCCATGAATATGTTATGTTACGTGGCAAGAGAGAATGAAGTTTGTGGATGGAATTAAGGTTGCTAATGAGCTAATCTTGAGATGGAGGGATTATCCAGGTGGGCCCAGTGTAATCACAAGTGTCCTTATAAGAGAAAGAGGAAGGCAGGAGGGTCAGAGTCAGAGTGATGAGACGTGAGAAAGGCTCAGTGGGCCGTTGCTGGCTTTGAAGATGGAGGAAGAGGCCATGAGCCAAGGAATGCAAGCAGCCTCTAAAAACTACAAAAGCCTAGGAAACACATTCTCCCCGGGAGCCTTCAGAAAAGAATGCAGCCCTGTCAACCCTTGCTTTTAGTCCAGTGAGACCCATTTCAGACTTCTGATCTCCAGAACTGTAAGATAACAAATCGGGGTTGTTTTAAGCCACTACATTTGTGGTAATTTTTTACCTACAATAGGAAATGAATACACCCCCTAATACCTTAAGTCTTGGACAGAGCTGGGGCTCTTGGAAGTCAGGGAAAGCTGGAGCAGAAAGCTCACTTGTCTGACATCCTCCAAGGGTCTTGACTCAAATCTTGGGAAGCCAGCCCTGCGGAGCCTTGTTTAGGCAAATGAATCAAACGTCCCAACCCACACCTTCAGTAATCTTAGTTTTAAAATTTCTTTCTATCCTCCAGCAGTAACTCTGAGATTCTGCAGGACAGTCTCAATGTAATTTAAGCCTGCTTAATAAATTATTAGTTGACTGGACCTATAAATGAATCAAGAGTCCAGCTCAATTCAAGTCAGGAAGAACTCTGAGAGCTACTTGGGTTTTAAGGGTTAGGAGAGTGTAGGGCAAAAGGAACCTGGCTGAGCGTGGAGAGTAAGGCAAGTCAGTCCTCGGGACAGATCCTCCAATTCTTTGCCTGGAATGTTCTTCTCTCAGCTCATCTTATACTTCTGATATTAGCACAATGGTGAACTACACATGGAGGCCTTCCCCGGATATCTCATCTAAAGAGGCCTCCCCTGGTTATGCTCAGTCTTTTTTTTTATTTTTTTATTTTTTAACATCTTTATTGGAGTATAATTGCTTTACAGTGGTGTGTTAGTTTCTGCTTTATAACAAAGTGAATCAGCTATACATATACATATATCCCCATATCTCCTCCTATGCTCAGTCTTATCTCCTGTTTATTTCAATCAGAATATTTGACTTAGTTTGCCCTTATTTATTTATTTACTTCTTTATTGTCTACTAGTTTTCTCTTCCAGCAGAAGATAAACTCAGTGAAGGCCAAGACTAACTTATCTTACTTACTGTTCACCACTAAATCCCAGTACAATGTGCTGGATACATTTTTTTTTTTTTTTTTTGCGGTACGCGGGCCTCTCACTGTCGTGGCCTCTCCCGTTGCAGAGCACAGGCTCCGGACACGCAGGCTCAGCGGCCATGGCTCACAGGCCCAGCTGCTCCGCGGCATGTGGGATCTTCCCAGACCAGGGCACAAACCCGTGTCCCCTGCATCGGCAGGCAGACTCTCAACGACTGCACCACCAGGGAAGCCCTGTGCTGGATACATTTTAAAATGAAGGAAGTAATGTATGAACTGAGATCTGAGATCTGAATGAATAGATGTTAACCAGGTTAAAAACGGGAGAGGAGTGTGTGTTTGGTGAGAGTTTTAAGAGGGGTGAAGCTTATTGATCCCTCCTTATAACGCTGACCCTGTAGGAGTCTGCTGGGGTCTGTTCTTGAATTTCTTCTCTTTATCAGCACTTAACTCCAGATGGTCTCATCGACAAATCCCACTATAAGCTGATGACCCTCAAATTTATATTTCTTGCTTCTACTTCTCTGAACTCCAAAACTGTACTTCCAGCTACGTACCTCATACCTCCATGAGGATTTCTAATAGGTACCCATTCCTAAGGCCACTAATCCCCCCTCCAGTCCATGGAGCCAGACAGAGCCTTACAGATACAAACTGTGTCCAAAAGTGACACCAATCGGTGATGCGTCAATTGGATGAGGAGAAACCAACCGTGTCCCCAGCACTCCCTTTTTACCTTCCCCTATTTAATATTTCCTCAAAGCACTTTTTACCATCTGACATATTGTATATTTGATTGTCTGTTTATTGTCTTCTCCCCCTATAAGGATATAAGCACCTTGTGGGCAGAGAATTGATCTCTTTTATTTTCTGATGTGTCTCTAGCAATTAGACTGGGGCCTGGCATGTAGTAAGTTCCACTAAATACTTGTGGATCAGTGAATGATTGAATGATTAAATGCTTTTACCCACATAATCCCATTTCAACTTCACCTCAATCTTTCTTGCGACCATTATATTCCACTTACATATATGAAGATCCCTAAAATTTAAATGATTTTCCCAGCTCATATAACATATAGTTAGAAAATCTGGAGATTAAATTAGCTTTCTGATTCCAAAGCTTGGTGCTTTCCATAACACCGAATGCCTCCACCACGTGGGCCTGGTTACATCACAAAAACTGCCTCTAATCTGGCTTCCAGTTCTTAAGAGTAACTGAAAAATCCTTCTTTTAAAAAATAACTTTATATGCTTGTGTAAAAATGAGTATGTTTGTTATGAAAACATAGAAAAGTATGAGGATAAAAATAAGATACTACCCGAATACCCCATCAGCTAGGACACTGTAATCAACTGGTGACAATCAACTGGTGACAATCAATCTTATTGTGATGACTCTTAAAATCTGTTCTTTCCCTTTTCAGTTTCCCCAAATTGGCAAATATTACCATGATTGATCCAATTTCTTAGACCAAAACCTAGGACTCATCCACAATCCCTCTCTTTATCTCACTCCCCATATCATCAAGTTATACAGACTGCTTTGAATGTATGTCTGGAAACTATTTCTCTCACCTTGACCACTGTCATCTTAGTCCAGGTGACCATATCTTACTTGCTTGGATGGTGACAATAGCCCCATCATAGATTTCTTGTTTGGACAATGACAAAAGCCTCCTCAAATATTCTCCATTTCCATTTTTTTTTTTGCCCTACTAGTTTTATTCCCTACACAGTAGCCAGAGTGTTTTAAAAACATAAACTAAATTACTTTCTGACTCAAAACATTTCAGTGATTTCCCATACTTAAAATAAAAAATTCTTACAATAGCAAAAAGGGCCAGTAAGCAACGGTCACAAAATCCTTTTAATTTCTTAAACATACCAAGCTTTTATCTACCCCAGGGCCTTTATACTTACTATTTTTTCTGCCTGGAAGCTCTTATCTTAAATGTTTGCATGCTCTTATCTTAAATGTCTTCCCTTTACATCACTTAAGTCCACACTCAAATACCACCACCTTAGAGTGGCTAGCCCTGACCTTCCCACCTAAATTAGTCCCTGGCTGCCACACCTTACCATTCTCTATTCCTTTACTTTATTATTCTTCATAATACTTATCATTATCTAAAGGCAAACTATATAATTATTTGTTCATTTTTTGGGGGGTTGTATTTACCACTAAAATGTAAGTTGTATGAAGGCAAGGATTACTGTCTTGCCTTTTTTTTGGTCTTTTTCTTTTTTTTTCCTCTCACTACTTTGTCCTCAACACTTAACATAATGTTTAACACATACTAGGTACTCACTAAATATTTGTAAAAGAATGAATTTGCAGATAGAGGGATAGATAATCTTACAAAAAAGGATCAGTCTTTACGCTTTTAAAAATAAAAATTACGACATTGAACATATATTTAACAGAAGAAAAAGAAGTTGATATAAAGCTGAAGGAATCACTTACCTTTGGAAAAATGTTTCTTCACAAGATGAAATACTAGTTGTCAACTAATGGCTCTAAAGAAAAAAAAAAACAGAAATCATTAAGGGATGGTGATTATGTTGCTATGTTTTTCCAACAACATTTGTAGAGAAGGAAAAAGAGTGTAACAGAAACAATTTAAACTTAAATGAAATTTATATTTTCAAGATTATTGGGTTGATACCTTTTCAAAGTGCATTTATCTGCCCTTTGCAGTAAGTTTCATTTACTCATCAAAACCCGCCGCAAAATCAAAGCTGTCAGTGTCTCTTATAAAAAGCCATGTGCTCCTGATGCTCCAAGGCTGTGCTGAACTCTTTGTAATGCTCTTCTTTTTTTCTTTTATTTTTCTTCCTGAACTCTTCCTTTTGCCACCTCCCTGCTATTTTGCCTTCCTGAATGGCTTTCTCTATATTCCCTGATTTTCATCAGTGTTCCCTGCCTGCAACACCCTATATGCTTCAGGACTAAATAGAAAATGCCAAATGATTGGAGCTTGACCTCTTTCTTACATAAATGGAGCTTGGAAGCAATAGGTTCAAGACCAGTGTTGTGCTCATCAAATGTCCCAGGCTCCTTCTAGCTTGTTGCTCTACCTATCTCAACACACACTTAACTTATTGTCCAGACAGATGTTCTAGCCCCATTGTCACATTCACAACCCAGCCACCAGGAAGGAGCACACCTTCTTCCTTCAAAAGCAAACTTCCCACCCTCATACCCTGCTGGTAAGAATGGATAAATGAAATGTGCTAGATACATATTCAGCAATAAAAAGAAATGAAGTACTGATCCATGCTGAGACATGAACTTTGAAAACATTATGCTAAATGAGAGAAACCAGTCACAAAAACCCCACATATTGTATGATTCCATTTACATAGGGTGTGTGCATTATATCTCAATAAAGTTGCTTAAAAAAACAAAAACAAAAGCAAACTTTCCACAGTTTTACACAACTCCCACTTACATCTCATAGGCTAGAAAGCAGTCACATGGTCATGCCCACATGCAGGGAAGCTAACAGATGCAGTCTTTATCCCAGCCAGCCAGCCATGTGCTCGGCTAAAAAACCAGAGGTCCTGGTATATATAGCACAGGGAACTATATTGAACATGTTGTAATAACCTATAATGGAAAACAATCTGAAAAAGAATATATTATATATATATATATACATACATATATAACTGAATCACTTTGCTGAACACCAGAAACTAACACAACATTGTAAATTAACTCTACTTCGATTTTTAAAAATCAGAGGTTCTCTTACAGTAAAAAGAGAGGACAGATATTACAGAACACTGACCATCTCTGACCCATCCTTTGTCAGACCTTGTACCTTGTCCATCTACCCGCAGAGGATCACTGCATGTACTTCTCAGGAACATGACACTTAATTTTAGGTAAACTGATCTCTTTCCCAGAATCTGTGCAGGGATGTGTTGGCTCTGTGTTCTCATATATTTTAGGTCAAAATTCTCTTCATTTGGCAGCCATTCTTCATAGTTTTGTTTTATAACTTTTGCCTTGTTAATAGAAGGTGGAAGTTTCTTTTTTACTTTTTGCTCTTTTATTTTGCTTTCAGTTGGTTTCAGGACTTGGAAGTGAATTCAAAATGCCCCTTCCCTGGTATCTTTAACTGGAATTTGTCAGAAGAAATATTCTTGAATATGCTTGCCCCTAAATGCAACCCTTCCGGGGTTTCTTCTATTTTTGGATCTAGCGGGACCTCCAGGACTGGACGTTCACGGCTCTCTATAAACAGCTGCTCCTCCCGACCAGATAAACTTCCCTCAGAACTTCGCCCCCCAACACACATTATCTGCTCCAGTCACGTCTCACTTGTCAATAACAGTTTTTGTATAATCTGGGGCTTCCCTCGTGGCGCAGTGGTTGAGAGTCCGCCTGCCGATGCAGGGGACGCGGGTTCGTGCCCCGGTGGATCCCACTATGCCGCGGAGCGGCTGGGCCCGTGAGCCATGGCCGCTGAGCCTGTGCGTCCGGAGCCTGTGCTCCGCAACGGGAGAGGCCACAGCAGTGAGAGGCCCGAGTACCGCAAAGAAAACAAAAACAGTTTTGTATAATCTGTAGTGTGCTGTGCACATGTCAGTTGTATTTATGTCCCATATTGCCTTGACTAGGATGCCTTCCCCCTTTGCCCCTTCCTCAGGGCCCTCAGGCGCAACCCGTTAAATCTAAATGCCGCCTGTTTGCCCCCAGAGCAGCTCTTCTTGGGATATGGCGCCACCTGTTGCCCAAGTTGAAAACATGGGAGCTGGTCGAAATTCTCCCTTCTCATTCACCTCCCGCGTTTACTCACCCTCGAAGCCTTGTCACTTCTTTGCTGCCATCCTCACCACGCTTCCTGCTTCTCCCCTGCACAGCCACTGCTTGGTTCTGCGCTCCTCACCCCGGCCCTGCTGCCTGGAACTCACCCACGCCAGCTGCACACCTCGTGCTCTTCCTTCAACGCAACCACGTCGCGCCTCCCGCTCGCCCCTCCCTTCTACCCTTCAGACCCTTTATTGGTTTTCCATTCTTCTCGGTTAATTCCAAACATCTGTCCCGGAAACAAAGCCCTCCAGCACCTGGCGATCACTGACTTTCTCACCTCTCTTCCCTAACACCCTTGCTTCCTGCTGGTTTTGCCAAACAACGAGCCGTCTTTCAAAAGACTGCATTTTTTCCCCTCCAATTTTAAAAAATTATGGTAAAATACACCAGCATAAAAGAGTGTTTAAACAATTCCTCTCCCTCCATTTGGAAGCTAGCTGACTCCTATTTGTGTTTCAAAACCAAGTGCAGGCATCATTTTCTATAAAACTTTTCTATCACTTACCTCTGGTCTGACTTCTGTGGTACCTTTCTTGTGTTTCCTTAGAAAACTCTGTGCGTACTTCTCTACAAACATAGCATTATGCTATCACTTTTGGTCTATTTGTTTGTCTTCCATGATTAAAGCATAAGGCCCTTAAGACCAGGGACAATATCTTCTTTCTGGATTCCCAGTCCTTAACCTATACTTGGTATATAACAGGGATTAAACAAATTCTGAAGAGCAATAACAAAAAATGAACTATCTCCTCTCTATTCACATTTTGTTGACCTTATAACAGGGCAGGAAATGACTCACTGGAATTCCAGAAATCCAGGCTCTTCCACATGCTCCCACTAACCCTGCTTCCAACAGGGCAATTGTTGGTTTAGTGACACGTTGATTCAGATTGCCCTCTAGCTGATGGAAAACGTGCATGGCATGGACTCTGAATCCGTTCTGTGTACCAGTGTTGCCTAATTTGTCAATAGCCTGTACCTGTGTAATCCTTACTGGGAGTAAAGAGGTTCTTTCTGAGTTTGAAAAAATTAATGTAATGTGTGTTTACTGATACGACATCATGTGAGGTATGAGGGTATCAGGGTATTAGGTTAACTGGAAAAGAGGAGCCTGAATCCAAGTGATCTGGTCATCTGCGATGAAGGGACCAACATACATCAGACTTTGAGCAACCTGTTAACTGGACCAGTAACAGTCTATGGGTCCAAATGTAGCAGGGGGCAACTATATTTCATTGATTCTAAGGTGCTCTTGATTTCACATTTTAATGTTTCTGAAACAGAAATGTATCTTAAAACAGATGGCATCTTAGATTCAGAGAAATACAACATTATAATAAGAAGTATAAGAGAAATCCAACATCACTATTATACCAGAGAAATATAATAACCAATATTAATTGATTTAATTGTAACTGAGCATGGAATATCACACATTAAAACAGGAAACAGAGTTGAAAAAAAGCAATGAATGGCTAAAAGCTTGAATTTGCATTGACTGTGGGAGAATTTTCAGTGACTTGATAATAAAAACCATCATTTATGAGCCCCTCCTAAATGCCAGGGAGAATACATACATTATCATTAATCCTCACCCTCCTAACCTGGAAGGTAGGTGGTGTTAATTCCATTTTTTAGATGAAGATCTGAGAAAGTCTGGACCTGCCCAATGTCACACAGCTAGAATACGTCAGATATGATCAGATTTTAAAACCTATTACCAAAAAATTGTATAAATGATCTTATTTGCAAAGCAGAAATAGGGACACAGACATAGAGAACAAACGTATGGATACCAAGGGGGGAAAGGGGGGTGGGATGAATTGGGAGATTGGAATTGACCTATATACACTATTGATACTATGTATAAAATAGATAACTAATGAGAACCTACTGTATAGCTCAGGGAACTCTACACAATGCTCTGTGGTGACCTAAATGGGAAGGAAAGCCAAAAAAGAGAAGATATATGTATATGTATAGCTGATTCACTTTGCTGTACAGTAAAAACTAACACAACATTGTGAAGCAACTATACTCCAATAAAAATTAATTTAAGAAATAAATAAATAAAACCTATTACCTTTATTTTATTCTATGCTCCCTCCTGAAGAAAGCACTGACCCTAAAGATAAAAATAATTGTTACCTTAGAACAAAATAATTTTTTTTCAGTTTGAGCAACTAGGTCATCATTGAAGAAACATATTCCTTCTGTGTTTGAAATTAATGGAGAAGATAAATAGGAAAGAGAGTCCTGAGCAAGCTTCTTGGGGTTTGTTTATAATGGCCCTGAGAATGGAAATTCATGAGGGTTATTTCATCCTAAATGACCATAACTATGAAGTTAAGTCCAGCTTCACTGAAAATTCAGAGCTAGAACTGACCACCCAATATAATTTTTGTACCGATTATGTAAAGGCCTTTGAGACTTAAAAGTTGATATCTCTAAGCCTAAAGGCATTTTGTCCTAAACATTTCTGGCTGTGATTTTAAATCTGTAGAAATACCAATAAGACAGGACCTATGCATGCACTTGAATCCATCTCTCCCGCCTCCTCCTCCTATAACAGCATCAGCTTCAATCTAGCCTCAGTTTACCAAGATCCCTTGAAAACTCTAGATTGAATTGTTGACTCTGTAAGTGGCCCAATTGCCTCCAGTTCTGACTGTGCCCGAAACTAGGATGTTCCCGTCCCCTTACTAGCCTGTTCCAATTCTAGACTTCTGATGTCCTAGCTTGCTTTGACCTGGGACATTGCCTTGAAACTGAGTTTTGACTGTTGCATGACCTGAGGCAGTGTTTAGAAGACACCTATGAGCCAGAAAGTACTTACTAGTCATCATGCTTCTATTTTATCAGGAAAATGTATGCTAATTATTGATGCTTTTGTGCTTGTGTATATATTCTTTTTTTCAAAAAAGACAGCTTTATGGGAATTCCCTGGTGGTCCAGTGGTTAGGACTCGACACTTTCACTGCCAGGGCCCGGGTTTGATCCCTGGTAGGGGATCTAAGACCCCAGAAGCTGCACGGCACAGCAAAAAAAAAAAAAAAAACAAAACAAAAAACAGCTTTATTGAGATATAATTCACATACTATAAAGTTCACCCATTTAAGGGTACAGTTCAGTGGTTTTTAGAAAATACAGAATTGTGCAATCATCATGGCAATCTAATTTCGGAATGTTTTCATCACCCTTCAAGAAAACTCCCTAGCCATTTGCACTCACTTTCCAGACCTACACCATCACTAATCTATTTTCTGTCTCTATGGATTTGCTTATTCTGGACATTTCATATAAATGGAATCATATAATACGTGGTCTTTTGTGTCTGGCTGCTTTCAAGATTCATCCATGTTGTAGCAAGTATCAGTACTTCATTCCCTTTTTATGGCCATAAAATATTCCATTGTATGGATATAACACCTTTTGTTTATCCATTCATCAGTCGATGGACATTTGGCTTGTTTCCACTTCTTAATTATTATGAATCATCCTATGAACATTCTTGTACAAGATTTTGTGTTTACATATATTTTCATTTCTCTTGGGTAGACACCTAGGTGAAAGTGCTGGGTAATATGGTAACACTATGCTTAACATTTTGAGGAAATGCCAAACTGTTTTCCAATGTGGCGGCACCATTTTACATTCACACCAGAAATATATGAGGATTCCACCTTCTCCGCGTTCTTGAAAACACTTATTATCTTTTTAATTTTATCTTACTAGTAGGTGTGAAGTGGTATGTCATTGTGGTTTTGATTTGCATTCCTCTGGTGACTAATGATATTGAGAACCTTCTCATGTGTTTATTGGCCATTTGCATATCTTCTTTGGAGAAATGTTTATACAAATCCTTTGCCCATTTTTAAATTGGGTAGTCTTTTTATTGCTGAGTTATATGAGACTCTTTCTGACCTAACTTTGTTAATATAGGAGGTGCCAACCATGCCCACAGTACAAAGCTAGCTGCTATTCTCTTGGGTGGAAACCCTTTAAGATCTCTCTCTCCCAGGCTAACATCTCATCTGTGGGAAACGCCCACACACCCTTCGACCTTAGGAATTCTGAGAGTATAGGCCATTTAATTTAAAAATTAAAAAAAAATTTTTAATTTATTTTTTTGGCTGCATTGGGTCTTTGGTGCTGCACATGGGCTTTCTCTAGTTGTGGTGAGCAGGGGCTACTCTTCTTTGTGGTGCACAGGCCTCTCATTACAGTGGCTTCTCTTCTTGCAGAGCACAGGTCCTAGGCGAGCGGGCTTCAGTACTTGTGGCATGTAGGCTCAGTAGTTGTGGCTCACAGGCTTAGTTGCTCCACGGCATGTGGGATCTTCCTGGACCAGGCTCGAACCTGTGTCCCCTGCATTGGCAGGCAGATTCATAACCACTGAGCCACCAGGGAAGCCCCTCATTGTAGTTTTGATTTCATTTCTCTAATAATTAGTGATGTTGAGCAGCTTTTCATGTGCTTCTTGGCCATCTGTATGTCCTCTTTGGGGAAATGTCTATTTAGGTCTTCTGCCCAGTTTTTGATTCGGTTGTTTGTTTTTTTAATATTGAGCTGCATGAGCTGTTTATATATTTTGGAGATTAATCCTTTGTCCGTTGATTTGTTTGCAAATATTTTCTCCCACTCAGGGTTGTTGTTTTGTCTTGTTTGTAGTTTCCTTTGCTTTGCAAAAGCTTTGAAGTTTCATTAGGTCCCATTTGTTTATTTTTGTTTTTATTTCCATTATTCTAGGAGGTGGATCAAAAAAGATCTTGCTGTGATTTATGTGAAAGAGTGTTCTTCCTATGTTTTCCTCTAAGAGTTTTATAGTGTCCAGTCTTACATTTAGGTCTCTAATCCAGTTTATTTTTGTGTACGGTGTTAGGGAGTGTTCTAATTTCATTCTTTTACATGTAGCTGTCCAGTTTTCCCAGCACCACTTATTGAAGAGACTGTCTTTTCTCCATTGTATATCCTTGCTTCCTTTGTCATAGATTAGTTGACCATAGGTGCGTGGGTTTATCTCTGGGCTTTCTATCCTGTTCCATTGATCTATATTTCTGGTTTTGTGCCAGTACCATATTGTCTTGATTACTGTAGCTTTGTAATATAGTCAGACTCAGGGAGTCTGATTCCTCCAGCTCCTTTCTATCCCCTTGAGACTGCTTTGGCTATTCGGGGTCTTTTGTGTCTCCATACAAATTTTAGGATTTTTTGTTCTACTTCTGTAAAAAATGCCATTGGTAATTTGATAGGGATTGCATTGATTCTGTAGATTGCTTTGGGTAGTATAGTCATTTTCACAATATTGATCTTCCAATCCAAGAACATGGTATATCTCTCCATCTGTTTGTGTCATCTTTAATTTCTTTCATCAGTGTCTTTTCTGAGTACAGGTCTTTTACCTCCCTAGGTATTCCTAGGTATTTTATTCTTTTTGTTGCAGTGGTAAATGGGAGTTTTCCTTAATTTCTCTTTCAGATTTTTCACCATTAGTGTATAGGAATGCAAGAGATTTCTGTGCATTAATTTTGTATCCTGCAACTTTACCAGATTCACTGATTAGCTCTAGTGGTTTTCTGGTGGCATCTTTAGGGTTCTCTATGTATAGTATCATGTCATCTGCAAACAGTGACAGTTTTACTTCTTCTTTTCCTATTTGGATTCCTTTTTCTCTCTGATTGCCGTGGCTAGGACTTCCAAAACTATGTTGAATAATACTGGTGAGAGTGGACATCCTTGTCTTGTTCCTGATCTTAGAGGAAATGCTTTCAGTTTTTCACCATTGAGAATGATGTTTGCTGTGGGTTTGTCGTATGAGGCCTTTATTATGCTGAGGTAGGTTCCCTCTATGCCTACTTTCTGGAGAGTTTTTATCATAAATAGGTGTTGAATTTTGTCAAAAGCCTTTTCTGCATCTATTGAGATGATCATATGGTTTTTATTCTTCAATTTGTTAATATGGTGTATCACATTGATTGATTTGCATATATTGAAGAATCCTTGCATCCCTGGGATAAATCCCACTTGATCGTGGTGTATGATCCTTTTAATGTGTTGTTGGATTCTGTTTGCTAGTATTTTGTTGAGGATTTTTGCATCTATATTCATCAGTGATATTGGTCTATAATCTTCTTTTTTTGGAGTATCTTTGTCTTGTTTTGGTATCAGGGTGATGGGGGTCTCATAGAATGAGTTTGGGAGTGTTCCTTCCTCTGCAATTTTTTGGAAGAGTTTGAGAAGGATGGGTGTTAACTCTTCCCTAAATGTTTGATAGAATTCACCTGTGAAGCCATCTGGTCCTGCACTTTTGTTTGTTGGAAGATTTTTAATCACAGTTTCAATTTCATTACTTGTGATTTGTCTGTTCATATTTTCTATTTCTTCCTGGTTCAGTCTTGGAAGATTATACCTTTCTAAGAACTCGTCCCTTTCTTCCAGGTTGCTCATTTTATTGGCATAGAGTTGCTTGTAGTAGTCTCTTATGATGCTTTGTATTTCTGTGGTGTCCATTGTCACTTCTTTTTCATTTCTAATTTTATTGATTTGAGTCCTCTCCCTCTTTTTCTTGATGAGTCTAGCTAAGGGCTTATCAATTTTGTTTATCTTCTCAGACAACCAGCTTTTAGTTTTATTGATCTTTGCTATTGTTTTCTTTGTTTCTATTTCATTTATTTCTGCTCTGATCGTTATGATTTCTTTCCTTCTACTAACTTTGGGTTTTGTTTGTTCTTGTTTCTGTAGTTCCTTTAAGTGTAAGGTTAGATTGTTTATTTGAGATTTTTCTTGTTTCCTGAGGTAGGATTGTATTGCTCTAAACTTCCCTCTTAGAACTGCTTTTGCTGCATCCCATAGGTTTTGGATTGTCATGGTTTGTTGTCATTTGTCTCTAGGTATTTTTTGATTTCCTCTTTGATTTCTTCAGTGACCTCTTGGTTATTAGTAATGTATTGTTTAGCCTCCATGTGTTTGTGTTTTTTATGTTTTTTTCCTTCTAATTGATATCTAATCTCATAGCGTTGTGGTCAGAAAAGATGCTTGATATGATTTCAATTTTCTTAAATTTACTGAGGCTTGATTTGTGACCCAAGATGTGCTCTATCCTGGAGATTGCTCCATGTGCACTTGAGAAGAAAGTGTAATCTGCTGTTTTTGGATGGAATGTCCTATAGGCAGGCAGATTCTTAACCACTGGACCACCAGGTAAGTCCCATCATTATGTTATTTTATTATGGAATTTAACCTCACCTCCCAAACTAGTTTCCTCTTCTGTCTGTTCTCTCTTCATTCTACTAGTTCTGCATCCCAAGTTAGGGAACCTAGCTGGCAAATTCAAAACTTCTCAGAATTCATGGAAGGAGGAGACTCTGAGTGACAAAAGACAAAACTCTTGTTAGCTAGAAAGGAGTGTGAGGGTGGGAAGAAAACAGAGATGCTCACATGTTAGCAAATCACATTAACATTTAGATCCAAAATTTACAGCTTCAAAATCCCCACCTCAAGGACCTCAGCTCTACTTTTTTTGTGTGGTAAAGTATACACGATGTAAAACTTACCATTTTACCCATTTTTAAGTGTACAGTTTAGTGGCATTAAGTACATTCACATTGTTATGCAATCATCACCGTCGTCTATCTCCAGAACTTTATCTTCCCAAATTGAAACTCCATACCCATTAAACAATAACTCCCCATTCTCCCCCCTCCCCCTGCAAGCACCATTCTACTTTGTCTCTATGAGTTTGACTACTCCAGGTACCTCATATAAATGGAATCATACAATATTTGTCCTTTTGTGACTGGCTTATTTCACTTGGCATAATGTCTTCAAGGTTCATCCATTTGTAACATGCGTTAGACTATAAATCCTTCTTTTTTGAAGGCTGAATAATATTCCATTGTATGTATATAATCACTCTTTGTTTATCCATTCATCCACTAATGGACGTTTGGGTTGTTTCCACATTTTTGGCTATTGTGAATAATGCTGCTAGGAACATGGGTGTACAAATATCTGTTGGAGAGAACTTTAAAAAAATCAGTTCTTTTGAGTATACACCCAGAAACTCAGCTCTGCTTTTATTTTTTTATTATTATTTTCTTTTACTTTTTTTTTGGGGGGGGCATGCCATGTGGCATATAGGATCTTAGTCCCCTGACCAGGGATCAAACCCTGTGCCCCCTACATAGGGAGCACAGAGTCTTAACCACTGTACCGCCTGGGAAGTCCCAAGCTCTGCTTTCAAAGCTTCTTTCCCCCCCAATGTCCTGGAGCCTGGGCTGCCTGCTGGCATTTGAGCCATCCTTTTGTGGCAGCTACTCCTCATAGCACTCCACTGGGCCACCACTGGGCAGCTGTTCTAGCCGTTCTCTTCTGGGTCACTGTTCTCTTAGCAATACTCAGTCTTTCCTTGCAATCTGCCCACTTGCTCTCCAACCCCCAGCCCTGCCCCTCATCACTTTCTGAAGAAGATGTAACTATGCATGTCTGAATCCTACCTATGAACATGGTTTGAATTCTTATCCAAGGGGGCTCCTTGGGCCCCCATGTAAATCAATGGCTGCAAATAGATGGGGTGGGGCAGGGAGAGATTTGTGGTGGGGATTATCATTTCATCTGTTTATGATATTCTAATTATAGAGTGCCCATAGCTCAAGGAAAGGGATTTCTGAGACTTGATATAAAGTCAAACATTCAAAGAAAATCTACTGTGGAAAAAAAGGATTTATTTTGTGAATGTGGCAGAAATCATGTAAGTGCTTTCCATTGGAAATAGGAAAAAATACACACAGGCCATTATATTAATTTCTCTATTTTGAAAAGCTATAGAAAATCAGCATATCTCCAAAGCCACAGAGAGAGTGAAGGCTCCACTATTTGCCAATTGTCTCAGGCCCTTCTGTGGGCCTGGGCCTGGTTTGGCTGGATCATGGTTTATAAAGTACTCTATAGGATATAAGTATATTGTTTTACCCTTGGCGTTTTCAGGACCCAGATCCTTTTTGGCAAGGGATTTGTAGGTTTAAACAAATGTCCATCAAGCTTTTAGCGAGTAGTGTTTCTGTCCTAGCAGTATTTAAAATGAAAAGAGACTATGGGGTGGGAGAAGGAATGAGAGGAAAAAGCAATTACTTTGATTTAAATTGTTAAAAGAGAAACGTTCTTTTGTCTAGGGATAAAGCACAGCTTATAGGGTTGTGGGATGTTGATAAACCCGGTAACAGTGGGTTTGGTCTCTATGTCCTTTGGCTCCCCCAGGGGCTTCAGGACAAAGTTTTGCAGAATGGTGGTGAGAAACAGGAACAACTCCACGCGGGCCAGGCCCTCTCCAACACATGCCCGTTTCCCTGGAAGGAGGAGACAGTTCCATTAGCTTACTCCAAATTCAAATACAATAGCTCGTATTCAAATACTATACACTCCTAACAGCCAATGAAAACACTGATCAGAAAAGGGATGGCTAAGAAACTGCTGGAGGACAATGAACTGGTACAGTTCTTCTAGACGGATATTTGTCAATACAGATCAAAACTCTCTGAAGAAATTTTCACTCTTAATTCAGTAATTCTCCTTCTGGGGATTTATCTGTAGGAATTAGAGATTCACCTATGCGGCTGTCACTTGCATTGTTATTTATGACACTGATGAGTTAGTTGAAAACTAGACATCCACCTATACTGGATTAATTAAATAAATCCTTGTGCATCTATCATGCAACACAACCTAAACATGTTTGTACAGAAGATTATTTAATACTGTCTTATATCACAACACACTAAGCAAAAGCAGGTTATCAAATAGATTGTACAGAATGAGCCTGATTTTTTAAAATAAAATGTACGTTTATTATGTATATCTAGACAACTGTGTGAAGTATATATAGCAAAATATTAACAGCGATTCTAGCCTGAATCTGAAATTCAGGCTACAGTCTGAAATTGCAAATGGTTTTCCTTTTTCTTTTTTTCCTTTTTACAAATCCACCCATCCACTCATCCATCTATTTATGGCTGCGCTGGGTCCTCGCGGCTGCTCGCGCCCCGCCCCGCGCCCCCCCCAGGCTGCGGAGAGCCGGGGCCACTCCTCGCCGCGGTGCGCGGGGCACCGCAGCGGCTCCTCCCGTCACGGAGCTCTGGCCCCAGGCACGCGGGCTCAGCAGCCACGGCCCAAGGGCTCCAGCGCGGGGGTCCAGCAGCCTTCGCTCCTTGGTATGCAGGAGCCCCCGGGCCAGGGCCGGAACCCGCGTCTCCCGCATTGGCAGGTGGACTCCCAACCACTGCACCACCAGGGAAGTCCCTCTTTTCTCTTTTTTTTTTTTGCTCTTCTGCATTTTCCATCTTTTATATTGAACACTTACTATCACTGTGATTAGAAATAAAACATACTGTTATTTTTGAAAATACTAATCAAATGATTGACTAGGGTAACAAAGAAAAAGAATGGGTGCTGAGCAATCCTAAGTTGTCTTTATGACTTTATGAGAACTAGCAACTGGGAGCCAACCAGCGCTTGCAAAGAGGCAAGCGTATGTGGGGCTCCGGATTTCAGAGGGGAAGAAAGAGGATGAAGTGGCCAAGGTGTCTCTGATGGCCTCTCTAAGAATCAGAAAATTAATAATGGTTAATAATTGTTTAAGAAGAGAGAAACTTGAACATTTTGTTTTGAAAAAGTCATGTTATGAAAGGGAGATCAACAGGCAAGAGTTTGTAAAAGGAGGTCCCTTTGTTATCTGATAATGTGTGACATCTGAATTAAATCGATTTGCCTTGGTTTCTTTAAAAACTAGCATTGTACTCAATCACCAAACAACAAAAGAGTCTCTGGAAGACTTACCTGATTCTACTGGTATACAGACTTAAATGGATCCATCCCGATTTGGGGGTTTATAACAGATTGATTTGATTGACTTTGCTATCATCAGTGGATTACTTAGTTATGCCATATTCAGTAAAGCTAAAAGTTATCCAAAAGGTTCATGTGTATGGTTTGGATGGGGTGTATTTGTATTTACCCATGGAAAAAGGCACGAAGTATTCTGTTTTCCTGACGCTGCCATTTTTATCCAAAAAGTGACCTGGGTCAAACTTCTCTGGGTTGGGAAATTCCTTGCAATCGTACAGGACCGAAGACAGTAATGGCAATACAGTAGCGCCCTGGAACCAAGAAATGGAGAGTGGAGTGGCACATTATCATGCTTACCTTTGGTCCCTAAAAAGTCTAGTACTTTTAATCACAGTGGATTAAATAGGATCGAGCACTCTTAAGTTTGCCTGGAGAAAACTGTCTCATGTGATGGCTCTTTTACACACATCACCATACAAGATCTTTTATCAAGTAATAAGATGGTTCTCTGTGGGAAGAGCACTGTTATGGTCAATGTGCAATAATCAATTGTTAAAAAGCTAAGGTTTGCAACCCATATTGTCTAGACATGCGCTTTACTGGAATTGTTGCCTCAAATTGAAAGAGCTCACATTTCATAATTTTTTTCTTTCTGAATTCAAGTGTGAATGGAAGAAAATGAGAGATGGAAACTTGTAATCTATAAAATCTATTGGATCAAACCCCACTTCCCTCACTTGTAAAACGGGGTGGGGTAACAACAATAGGCTTTCCTCTTTGCCCCATTAGATTTTGTGAGATTTAAATGACAAAATAATAATGACCATTGATACGGAACGCTTCACATTTACCTGACACTGTGTTTAGTAGTTTATAAATTTAATTCTCACTTCAACCATATTCAGTAGGCTCTTTTTGTTTGTTTGTTTCACATTGTATAAATGCAGAAATTGAGATTCAGAGAGAAGAAATAACTTACTTGAGGTTATACTTTTAGCAAGTGGCATGGTTAGAATTTGACCCATCTATCTATGGGTCATAAAGCACCCCTGTTTAAGTGAAAGCCTCCTCTTCCCATTTTTACCTCATTTCGTATTTCCTGAAACATTATTTCACAAGTTTTGGAGTAGGTAATACATGCACATGGTATAAAATACAAAAAAAAAAAGTACAAAAGGGTACAAAGTGAAAATAAGTCTCTTTCCTAGACTCAAGTCCCCTGGTTTCCTTCTTAATGTAATCACTGTTACCAGTGTACGATATATCCTTTATGAGATATCTTATGGATTAAAAAAAAAAGGTACACACCTATTTCCTACTTTTTCCACAAATGGTAGCATCCTGTAGAGTTCTGTCGCTTGCTTAGTATTCTACTTTACATAAATAATTTTTAGGGAATTCCCTGGCGGTCCAGTGTTTAGGACTTGGTGCTTTCACTGCCGGGGGCCACTTTCGATCCCTGGTCGGGGATCTAAGATCCTGTAAGCCATGCAGTGTGGCCAAAAATAATAATAATAATAATTTTAAGTCCTTTTTAAATGAATATTCGGCACCAATACTGCTGCAATGAATATTATTTGGGGGGAAATATACACAAAGGATAAATTCCTAGTAGTGGAACTGCTTTTCAAATTGCTATGCACGTTTTGAATTTTCACAGAAATTGCAATGATGCCTTCCATGGAAGTTACACCAATTTATACTACTAGCAAAAACATATGTTTTTTTATATCTTGCCAACATATTGTGACAAGTGAAAACATGTTTCTTTATCATTTTTATTTTCAATATATTTTATTGTGTAAGTATATTTTCACATATTTAAAAACCATTTGTAATTACTTTCACTCAAATTTAAATTTTGTCTCCCATGCATTCTATCTGTTGGTTCTGGGGTTTTTTCATGCTGACTGTAGGAGTTCATTTTATTTTTCAGTAATTAGTTCTTTGTTCTTATGAACTATGAAACATTTTGTCTCAGTTTGTCATTTGTCTTTTGACTTTGTTTCTTTTTCTTAGGTAGATTTTTCTTATTTGCATGTAACCAAATTTATCCATTTTTAAATGTATAGCCCTCTTAATCCTCTTTTCTTTGGTCAATGTTAGAAAGTCTTTCTTCACTCTGAAATTCTCAAAAAAAATTATTGCTTTTATCCTTAGCACTTTTATAGTTTAATACCCTATGTGTATATATTTGAGCCACCAAGAATAAATTTTCATATAAAATTTATTTTATATGAAAGTTTGAGGTAGGGATTTATTATTCTTTTTTTTTCCCTGGGAGTTCTACAACTGAATAATCAATATTTTTCCTCTAGGTTACAAGGAAAAAGCCACTTTATCATATACTAAGTTTCCATGTATAATTACATTTATTTCTAGACTTTATTTGATTGATCTGTCTACTCAAGAAGCTGTATTATAGTGCTTTAATAACTGTGACCTTATATTTTAATATTTGGTAGGACCTGTCCCTGACTATTCTTTATTTTTTAATTTCCCACATCAAATTTGAGATCTGTTAGTTTAGTTCCAAAAAAGTATCTAGTTTATATTTTCATTGAGATCTCATAAATGCATAGATTAATTTCAGGGTAACTGCTATCTTCCTACCTGAACACAGAATAAATCTTCTAATTTATTCAAAACTTGTGTATCTTTCGTTAACATTTTAAGGGGTTTTTTTTTTTGGTATAAATCTTGCAAATTTCTTATCAAGTATATTCCTAAGTATTTTATCCTCGTTTTTATCAATAAAAAGCTTTTATTCATTATGTTTTTAAAACATAGCTTTTATTTTATATAGGGTAGAAATTGATTTTTTTAATAATAAATTTGTACCCAACCACTGGAAAATTCTATTTTTGCAGTGGTACTTAAGTTAATTTTCTTGAGTTTTCCAGGTACAATTATGTCACCTACAAATCGACCCCGCCTCTTAAATGTTTTATCTCATTACCTTTTTCTAATTCTAGTTAAATACTGGTAATGGTGGATAGCCTTGTCTTATTCCTGAAATTAACAGGAATGCTTTTAGTCAAAAAGCATGATTTGGGAAATATGTTTTCCATGGCTAATGAGGTATTTATCTATTCCTATTTTTTTTAAGGGTTAAACTCTTTAATATTATCAAAAGCATTTTCTGTACAAATGTGATTATCATGTGATTTTTCTCTAAGTTCTATTTATATGGTGATAATAAACCAGATTTTCTGGTGTTAGACCATTCCTGTGTTCCTGATTACCTTCACTTGCTGGTGATGTAGTATTTTTAATGTGATGCTAGACTTATGTGTTAATAGACTTTTGCATTGACGTTTGGCAGTAAGGTTGGGAGCTGTTTCAGTTTTGCAGTATTCTGTCACCTTTTCTTCCTCTTCTATACTCTTGAATGGATTAAATGTAAAACCCAACCCCTTAATCACTACAGAAGACTGACTACAGAAGAGTGACTACTCTTTTGATAATTGTTAACTCTCATGGGCAGCAATATCCCAAATGTCCTGGTATATGAGGTCTTCAGAGGAAAGAATTCGGGTTAAAGAAAGTTGACATTTGACTTGATTACTTTAGAGCTGCAGACACATTTTCCATCTCTTCCCCCTATTTAAAATCCATCATGGAAAATCAGGTTTCTGTTCCCACAACATTCGCATTAATGCAAATCACTTCTCCCTCAATACATCCTACGTGAGAGTGTGAGGGGCCTTGGGAGCCCCAGGTCAGCTTCCCCATTCCAGGAAGGCAGAGACAGGACCACAGAGGTGACATAATGGCCTGACGGTGCACTGCATGGCAATGACAGATTTCAAACCCAGGTCATGTGACTCTGACCTTGTGTTCTTTCCATGTCTCTCAATTGCCTCTCTTCCTCAAACAGAACTGAGATGCCTCTAACAGGCCCCACTGAGGTATCATGCTGCCCCTTCTATCCCACCCAGGTTTCCCAGACACCTCTAACCTTAGGGATGAAGTACTGTCTGAATTTCGTGTCCCGGGCCACAGTACGGGGCATGTTAGAAGGAAGGAGGGTGATGTATCTTTGTATCTCATGAAGCACGGCCTCTGTATAGGGCAGCTTTATCTTGTCCTTCATGCAGGGGCTTTGGTTGCATCCAATTACACGGTCAATTTCTTCATGAACTTTGGCTGCAAAGACATGAATCGTGAATACTACTCAAGAGATGTGTCCCCTGAACACCTGGAAATGCTTACGATGTATAATAGACAGTGGCCTAGAAAAGGCTCCCAAGGTCAAAGACATGTTGCTAAACAGCCCACGGGTCTGCTCCTCAATGGAATTTCTATTTTCTGATCTAAAAGACCAGAGATTTTGCTGCAGGAAACATAAAAGCTGCATCAGCTATGTCCTTGGCCTCCTGCCTGAATTGGTTTGTCCTCCTGTATGGGTGAGGAGATGACCTCTGTGGCAGGGATTAAGGTTTACCCCAGATTCCTGGCAAAGCAGCTGTGGAGAGGAAATGTTTAATCCTCACTCTAGTGGGAGCATCTCCTTTGTCAGCCTCATCCAGTGTCCTACACATTTTGTGGGAATGGCAAACACCATTTTGTTAAGCAGTATAAACACTGGCTTTCTAAGACCTGTGCTCTGAGAATGTGCTTGAGAAAATCACGCTACTACAATTTCATTTTTTAATTTTAAATTACATTGGAGCTAAAAATTCCCTTTGGGGAGTCTGATCCATTCTCAAGACGGAAAAACACAGGCCTGTGAGGTGAAATAACTTGTTTGAGGTCACACAGCCAGGTATGGGCAGGCTGAGAATGAGAAGCCATCGTGGGAATCCATGCATCCCTCATCTAAATAGGGCTCACTCTTCAGCATTGCATCACATATGGAAGAGTTGGGATTCAGAAGCTCCTCTGTGTTTAAACTTAAATGAAAGCCTTTGGGTTCATAAAGGTCTCTCTTTCTTATCAGCATCATTTGATATAATTCTGATCAAACCATGGATGACCCTTTGCATGATGTTCTACAAGGCAGTCCAAAGAAAGAGAAGTTGTCACTGCCAGTGGTATCTTCCCACCCTCACCAGTGCCAGGAGCTCATATTTTATCCTACATAAATACTTAGGATATTTGCTGTACCTTGAACCTCAGGGTATTTCATTAGGAGCAGGAACCCATAGCTCAGAGTGAGACTGGTTGTCTCTGTTCCCGCTGAAAACAGATTTGATCCACAGGTTGTCAAGTTCTCCAAGTGAAATTCAGACTCTGGGTTCTGTTTCTCCTGTAGATGGTAGAGTTAATGGCCACATGAGTTAAAAAGAAGGCAGTGGCTTATCAGAGCTCTATGATCACACCCCATCACTAGCAATAGGCTTCATTTTGTGCACGGTAGGGTGGTAGATAAAGAAATCCGTCATGGAATCGAAACTTCTGGTTCAAATCCCGGGTTGGTCAATGAACAGATGTGTGCCCTTGGCAAGTTACTTTACCTTTTTACTCAATTTCATCATCTGTGAAATTGGGGTAAAAAGTAGAACATATCCCATAGGGTTATTATAAAAATTAAAAGAATTAATGGGTGGAAGATCTTGGAAAAATTCTTCATATATACAAATACTCAGTAAATGGTATCTTCTTTTATTATATTTAATGAAAAAGACTAGATGATAAGCTCTGTGTGAGCACAATGTAGAGAAATCACTGGTTTGGGACTGGTCTGTTTCCTTCACTTACAAAGACTTAGGTATTCACAGCCCCACACTCTCACATATGACACATCATTATTAATGGCATTTCATTTTTTTTTATTGGAGTATAATTGCTTTACAATGTTGTGTTAGTTTCTGCTGTACAACAAAGTAAATCAGCTATATGTATACATAAATCCCCTCCCTCTTAAGCCTCCCTTCCACCCACCCCCATTATTGGCATTTCTAATATGAAGATTGTACTTGTACATATAGGACATTTTAACTTATAATTTTTTGCATGGGATCTACAAAGTCTTTAGAAAATAAACAGCTTTCTTTTTTTTTTTTTGCACCCTTCTAATGTTTAAATCAAGAATATATTTTTATTCTTATTTTTTTCATATATCTACATTAACTTTGCAAAAGTAATACATATACATCATAGAAATACAAATACATTGTAGTGTTACATACAGGAATGCATTATATGTGTACAAATACATGAACATTGTCAAAAAATTAGAAATTACAGGGGAACTAGAAGAAAATTAATCCTATCATTTAAGTAATAAACATTGACAATATTTTGGCATATATTCTCCAATTTTTTTCTTTTTTGTTGAATTTTAGAATTTTATTTATTTTTTTATACAGCAGGTTCTTATTAGTCATCCATTTTATACATATTAGTGTATATATGTCAATCCCCATCCCCCAATTCATCACACCCCACCCCCACTCCCCCAACTTTCCTCCCTTGGTGTCCATACGTTTGTTTTCTACATCTGTGTCTCTAATTCTGCCTTGCAAACCAGCTCATCTGTACCATTCTTCTAGATTCCACATATACACATTAATATACGATATTTGTTTTTCCCTTTCTGACTTACTTCACTCTGTATGACAGTCTCTAGATCAATTCACGTCTCTACAAATGACCCAATTTCATTCCTTTTTATGGCTGAGTAATATTCCATTGTATATATGTACCACATCTTCTTTATCCATTCGTCAGTCGATGGGGATTTAGGTTGCTTCCATGATTGGCTATTGTAAATATTGCTACAATGAACATTGGGGTGCATGTGTCTTTTTGAATTATGGTTTCCTCTGGGTATATGGCCAGGAATGGGATTGCTGGGTCATATGGTAATTTTACTTTCAGTTTTTTAAGGAACCTCCATACTGTTCTCCACAGTGGCTCTATCAATTTATATTCCCACCAACAGTGCAAGAGGGTTCCCTTTTCTCCACACCCTCTCCAGCGTTCGTTGTTTGTAGATTTTCTCATGATGCCCATTCTAACTGGTGTGAGGAGAGATACCTCATTGTAGTTTTGATTTGCATTTCTCTAATAATTAGTGATGCTGAACAGGTTTTCATGTGCTTCTTGGCCATCTGTATGTCTTCTTTGGAGAAATGTCTATTTAGGTCTTCTGCCCATTTTTGGATTGGGTTGTTTGTTTTTCTAATATTGAGCTGCATGAGCTGCTTATATATTTTGGAGATTAATCCTTTGTCTGTTGATTCATTTGCAAATATCTTCTCCCATTCTGAGGGCTGGCTTTTCATCTTGTTTATAGTTTCCTTTGCTGTGCAAAAGCTTTTAAGTTTCATTAGGTCCCATTTGTTTATTTTTGTTTTCCTTTCCATTACTCTAGAAGGTGGGTCAAAAAAAGATCTTGCTGTGATTTTTGTCAAAGAGTGTTCTTCCTATGTTTTCCTCTAAGAGTTTTATAGTGTCCGGTCTTACATTTAGATCTTTAATCCATTTTCAGTTTATTTTTGGGTATGGTGTTAGGGAGTGTTTGAATTTCATTCTTTATTTTTTTTTTTGAATTTCATTCTTTTACATGTAGCTGTCCAGTTTTCCCAGCACCACTTATTGAAGAGACTGTCTTTTCTCCATTGTATATCCTTGCCTACTTTGTCATAGATTAGTTGACCATAGGTGTGGGGATTTATCTCTGGGCTTTCTATCCTGTTGCATTGATCTATATTTCAGTTTTTGTGCCAGTACCATATTGTCTTGATTACTATAGCTTTGTAGTATAGTCTGAAGTCAGGGAGTCTGATTCCTCCAGCTCCATTTTTTTCCCCTCAAGATTGCTTTGGCTATTCGGGGTTTTTGTGTCTCTATACAAATTTTAAGACTTTTTATTCTAGTTCTGTAAAAAGTGCCATTGGTAATTTGATAGGGATTGCATTGAATCTTTAGATTGCTTTGGGTAGTATAGTCATTTTCACAGTACTGATTCTTCCAATCCAAGAACACGGTATATCTCTCCATCTGTTTGTGTCATCTTTGATTTCTTTCATTAGTGTCTTATAGTTTTCTGAGTACAGGTCTTTTACCTCCTTAGTAGGTTTGTTCCTAGATATTGTATTCTTTTTGTTGCAGTGGTGAATGGAGGTGTTTCCTTAATTTCTCTTTCTGATCTTTTGTTGTTAGTGTATAGGAATGCAAGAGATTTCTGTGCATTAATTTTGTATCCTGCAACTTTACCAGATTCACTGATTAGCTCTAGTAGTTTTCTGGTGGCATCTTCAGGATTCTCTATGTATAGTGTCATGTCATCTGCAAACAGTGACAGTTTTACTTCTTCTTTTCCTATTTGGATTCCTTTTATTTCTTTTTCTTCTCTGATTGCCATGGCTAGGACTTCCAAAACTATGTTGAATAACAGTGGCAGGAATGGACATCCTTGTCTCGTTCCTGATCTTAGAGGAAATGCTTTCAGTTTTTCACCATTGAGAATGATGTTTGCTGTGGGTTTGTTGTATGAGGCCTTTATTATGTCGAGGTAGGTTCCCTCCAGGCCCACTTTCTGGAGAGTTTTTATCATAAATTGGTGTTGAATTTTGTCAAAAGCCTTTTCTGCATCTATTGAGATGATCATATGGTTTTCATTCTTCAGTTTGTTAATATGGTGTATCACATTGATTCATATGCGTACGTTGAAGAATCCTTGCATCCCTGGGATGAATCCCACTTGATCATGGTGTATGATCCTTTTAATGTGTTGCCGGATTCTGTTTGCTAGTATTTTGTTGAGGATTTTTGCATCTATATTCATCAGTGATATTGGTCTGTAATTTTCTTTTTTCTTTTTTTTTTTTTTGTGGCACGCGGGCCTCTCACTGCTGTGGCCTCTCCCGCTGCAGAGCACAGGCTCCGGATGCGCAGGCTCAGCGGCCATGGCTCACGGGCCCAGCCACTCCGCGGCATGTGGGATCTTCCAGGACCAGGGCACGAACCCGTGTCCTCTGCATCGGCAGGCAGACTCTCAACCACTGTGCCACCAGGGAAGCCCTGTAATTTTCTTTTTTTGGAGTATCTTTGTCTTATTTGGTATCAGGGTGATGTGGATCTCATAGAATGAGTTTGGGAGTGTTCCTTCCTCTGCAATTTTTTGGAAGAGTTTGAGAAGGATGGGTGTTAACTCTTCCCTAAATGTTTGATAGAATTCACCTGTGAAGCCATCTGGTCCTGCACTTTTGTTTGTTGGAAGATTTTTAATCACAGTTTCAATTTCATTACTTGTGATTTGTCTGTTCATATTTTCTATTTCTTCCTGGTTCAGTCTTGGAAGGTTATACCTTTCTAAGAACTCGTCCCTTTCTTCCAGGTTGCTCATTTTATTGGCATAGAGTTGCTTGTAGTAGTCTCTTATGATGCTTTGTATTTCTGTGGTGTCCATTGTCACTTCTTTTTCATTTCTAATGTTATTGATTTGAGTCCTCTCCCTCTTTTTCTTGATGAGTCTGGCTAAAGGGTTATCAATTTTGTTTATCTTTTCAGACAACCAGCTTTTAGTTTTATTGATCTTTGCTATTGTTTTCTTTGTTTCTATTTCATTTATTTCTGCTCTGATTGTTATGATTTCTTTCCTTCTACTAACTTTGCGTTTTGTTTGTTCTTGTCTCTGTAGTTCCTTTAGGTGTAAGGTTAGATTGTTTATTTGAGATTTTTCTTGCTTCTTGAGGTAGGATTGTATTGCTCTAGAACTGCTTTTGCTGCATCCCATAGGTTTTGGATTGTCATGGTTTGTTGTCATTTGTCTCTAGGTATGTTTTGATTTCCTCTTTGATTTCTTTAGTGATCTCTTGGTTATTTAGTAGCACACTGTTTAGCCTCCATGTATGTGTGTTTTTTCCAGTTTTTTTTCCTGTAATTGATTTCCAATCTCATAGCACTGTTGTCAGAAAAGATGCTTGATCCGATTTCAATTTTCTCAAATTTTCCAAGGCTTGATTTGTGACCCAAGATATGATCTATCCTGGAGAATGTTCCATGTACACTTGAGAAGTAGGTGTATTCTGCCACTTTTGGGTGGAAAGTTCTATAAATATCAGTTAAATCTATCTGGTCTAATGTGTCATTTAAAGCCTGTGTTTCCTTATTAATTTTCTGTCTGGATGATTTGTCCATTGGTGTAAGTGAGGTGTTAAAGTCCCCCACTATTATGATGTTACTGTCGATTTCCTCTTTTATAGTTGTTAGCATTTGCCTTATGTAATGAGGTGCTCCTATGTTGGGTGCATATATATTTATAATTGTTATATTTTCTTCCTGGGTTGATCCCTTGAT